TGAACCGGTTTCGATTCAGCAGGGCTCGGGTTTTTTCGAGAATCATCTGTCTCATGATCACAGGTTCTCTGCAAAATGGGGTATGTACATGTGGAGAAGAAATGGGTTTTCCCTCTCGTGATCACATCCCTCCTCTGCGTTTTCCTCTTCGCGACTTCCTTCAACGTCGGTCTCGTCTCTTCCCTCCGGACAATCAACGGGATCTTCGCCATCATTCCCTCTCGCCTCTCCGCAAATCAGACAAGACCGGACTTTGCAGAGTCCAAACTCACGACGGCTTCGCCCCATCATGATCGAGAAGAAGAAGAAGACAGACTTCCTCGGTTCGCTTACTTGGTGTCTGGATCTAAAGGGGATCTAGACAAGCTTTGGAGGACACTTAGAGCACTGTACCATCCAAGGAACCAGTATGTTGTCCACTTGGATCTTGAATCCTCGGTGGAGGAAAGGCTCGAGCTTTCTTCCCGGATTCTTAAGGATTCGATGTATAGTAAGATGGGGAATGTCTTTATGATAACAAAGGCTAATCTTGTTACTTATCGAGGACCGACAATGGTGGCAAATACCCTTCACGCCTGCGCGATTCTCCTTAAGCGAAGCTCGGATTGGGATTGGTTTATCAATCTCAGTGCTTCGGATTATCCTCTTGTGACCCAAGATGGTAAGCGAGCAAGCATATCTATCTTTCATCTGTTCTCAGTTTTCGTATTCTGGTATTGATTTGATTCTGGTTCTGTATGGTGATGTTTCGATTTGAAGATCTGATTGATACGTTTTCGACTTTGGACCGGAACCTCAACTTCATCGAACACACGAGCGAGCTCGGCTGGAAAGAGTGAGTCTTTTCTTCTCTTCTTGTTCTAACTGTTGAGTTCGTTCTTCTTGGAGATTTTTCTTTAGCTGTTTTTCCTTTCGTTCTGTAAGGGAGAAGCGAGCAATGCCGCTGATGATCGATCCCGGGCTGTACATGTTGAACAAGTCCGACATTTTCTGGGTCTCGCCTCGTCGGAGTTTGCCAACCGCGTTTAAGTTATTCACAGGTCAATGTCTATTTTGAAGTAGAATTCGATTTCTTTTCTATCCAGAATGTCATCGTTCTTGAAAACTATCTGAAACCGATGAGAAACAATCCATTGTACCGATTTTCGGGTTTATTTGTCTAGCCCTGGTTTAGGTTACGAAGTTGTTCCGTTCCACTGGTCGATGTCTTACAGTAGGGGTGGGCCTTTTTTACCCGAAACCCGAGGACCAGTTGGTATCTGTCTCGTGGGTATGCGGAATGTGGGTCAGACGAGATTGTCGAGGAGGAGCTCGGGTGGGATGGTGCTGGAAATCCCAACCTCGGGTTCGGGTGCGAGTTCTGCGAACCGAGACATTGGTTACCTAAGCTGTGTTAGGGTTTGAAATCGAGGTCGTGAGTGTGAGATGGTGTTTCTGTCTTTCCGCTTTTTTAATCAGATTAGGTTTCGATATAACTCAGAGGCCAAGGGTGATTTCACCGTCTCGTGCCTGGCTCCCCTCGGACCAGGTAAGCCTCGAGACTTAGATCGAGTCATCCCCTCCCTCTCGTCTTGAGTCCTTCGTCTTGCCGGTCATCTCGACTCAACAGTCGGCCTCTGTCACTCACCCTGTCGACCGGGGAACCGCGGTATCTGATCCGCCGCCCAACTCGCAGGTACTCGACCACCGTGATACCGAGATCGAGTACTCTTGACTCTGAAACCCGAGGGGTTGAGGCCGAGGCCGAGGCCGGATACCCGAAAATATTGGGTACCCATCCATACCCGCCCCTAGGTTACAGACATCAAACCGAAATGTTGGTAAATTTCAGCTTATGACAGACAAATTATTATCGTTAGCTAAAGGCATTTGTTCGTCCGCTGTTGCAGGATCGGCTTGGATGGTTCTGTCGCGCTCGTTCGTGGAGTACTGCATATGGGGATGGGACAACTTACCCCGAACCCTCCTCATGTACTACACCAACTTCGTTTCGTCGCCCGAGGGTTACTTCCAGACCGTCATTTGCAATGTTCCCGAGTTCTCGAAAACCGCAGTGAACCACGACCTCCATTACATCTCATGGGACAACCCGCCGAAGCAGCATCCTCATGTATTGTCCCTCAATGACACCGGAAAGATGATTTCAAGTGGCGCTGCTTTCGCACGGAAGTTCAGGCAGGACAACGAGGTTTTGGATACGATCGATAGGGAACTGCTTAGACGGAAGGGCAAGCGAGGAGGGTTCACTCCTGGTGGGTGGTGCTCCGGGAAACCAAAGTGCTCGAAAGTTGGCAATGTCGGTAAGATTAAGCCGAGCCAGAGGTCGCAGAGGCTTCGGGAGCTCGTCGGTAGGTTAGTTTCCGAGGCTAAATCGGGTAATACTCAGTGTAAATAAGATAAGAATGGATCGATCCATTCGGGGAAACTGTCTTTTACGGTTACGGTTGGAGAACACCGGTGTAGAGTATCTGAAACAGTGTGGTGGCCGGTGATCGGAAATCGGAGAGGCGAAGAATAGAGACTGAGACTGTCCTTTTGATTGAAGGGTCAGTCTCCTTTGAGAGAGGCTTAGGATAAATATTCAAGACAGGGAATTTCGTTTTGTCTTGTCTTGTCTGAGCAGAAGTATCATCATTTCTGGTTATGTGATCTCGTAACGATGAGAGATGCCTTGCTTTCCACGTTATACCAGAATAGGGTTTTGTATTTTTCCACATTTGACGCATAGCAATCTTATAATATAACCATATTAAAGGGTCAGAATCTTGGAAAACGCAAACGCTCTCCCCCACACGTTTGCGTTCCGGGTGGTGCGTTAACTTCCCTCTCAAACGCGAACGTTTTTGAGTTCTGAACGATTTTGTTTCCGACACCCAAAAAACGAAAACCAAATTCGAAGACTGTCCTCTCGAACAGACCGAAGATATGAACTGAAAAGTGTCGCTGTCAACCACTTCAAGCCCCGACAATTGATCTGTGTGTTCTGAACATGAACCACAGTACTGGCATCGTCAATGCCTTGTGGTGCACGTAAACCTGCATTAAACCAGAAGCCCATTGACAATGGCGATCTGGGTTTTCTTGAAACGTTTTGTATGAAGAATTACTTACCTCGTTAGTGTCCGATCCCGTGGCTATATATATATACACCCATTTGATTTGATACTGATAATCCTACAAAGTTCTGGATTGCAAACACGATGTTTCAGATTCAGACATGAAATGATACCGAAAGAGCAACTCATTGTTCTGCTACGTTAACATTAGGGTGGCCCATGAACGAGTGAAGAGGAGTTTCGTTAAACCCAGAAGCAGCCATGGAAAGGTCCCAGAGCTTCAGAGAGTTATCGGTGGATGACAAGAGAGACGAGGTCGAAGAATCGAGAAACCTGACATAACTCACTGTACTGTCGTCTTCAACCATCGTGGGAAGGGGAATTCGGGATTCGTAACTCGTACCAATACACTTTGTGATCTGCTGAACTAAACGCTAAGGCCGTCCAGAATCCAACGGGAAATGGACGCAACTGGCTTTTGTCTTGATGGTTCCGATACTCATCCCCTGAAACTGCGAAAACAGAACTCACCATTCAAGACAAGAACCAAGATATGATATTACGTGCCCGAGAAATTCGGTATATATGTGAAAAAAGGTACGTTTTGTTGTAGTTTTCAATAGCCGACATCTCAAATTAGAATTGCCTGATTGACACTCCATCGCTTGACAGTTCCATCATCGCTCCCACTGGCCAGCAATGTCAGGTCTGCTGGTGAAATGTGTATGGACCAGACCCGTTTCTCGTGTCCCTCATTTACGTAAGGTACTGGCTCCTTTAAACACCCCATTTCTCAGGGAAAAAAACATTCGCCAACTGGTTTCAGACACATATAACTCTGTCACCGATGATGGATACCGATCTAACTGAATTGACCTGAACTACACCTTCAAAGTTACTCCGAACTACTAGGCTTTTTGTGTAGGGATTCCAACATATTCCGCTTAGCTTTGACCGGCTTACCAATTCCGCCACCAGACAATGAAGGTCTTCAAGATCAGTTGCTGCTGTATGACATCTTCAATGCCATATGAAAGAAGGAAACCCGTGTCCTGCAATTCTCCCGCTGCTTCTCGTTTTCTTTGTTGAATCAGTAACAAGAACTCAAGCAGTAACTCCTGTTCCTCGATCCCGTTCGGAAGCTCTATTGCTGTGTCCCGTTCTTCCAAATCTTCTCTTGGTTCGTTAAGAAACTCGCTAGATCTGGAGCAAACACCGTCAGTGAGAGAAAGGAGAGAATCTTCAGGGCCAGAAAGCATCGATCAACTCCACAGGACCAACCAGAGCACAAAAACTAAGATTGATTACAGCAATGCATAAATGGAGAACACCAAGGAAAAGGGTTTTGGTAAACCGAGGAAACTTTACCTAACTCTTGGTCGACAACTTGAACGGGATGCAATAACCCCAAGTCCACAACCAGAAGGAAGCTTCTTTCGGCCATTTGAGCAATAAGTGAGTCAGAAGAACTCGATGTCTCAAGCTAGACATAGTCCTCCACTTCTCTTCTCTTGAGAAAGAAACCAGGCAGAACTAACGTTCATCTAAATCGTTTTCCAAGAAAGTAAACAGAGCGAAAGTTAACACTGCAATTCTTATCAGAGACCTCGTAAAGAAGAATCCCGAGGTGGTAAATATCTGAGGCACATGAACTGGGAGAGGATATATCCTCTTCAGGGCTCGTATAATATCTCGTTTCCTCGACCAATATCCGCTTCATCGGGAAAGATTGCTTCTTTTCTTCTTCTAGCAATAATATTCAGGCCCAATTGAAAATCCTATAATCGAGCTACCAATAGCAAACTCTGACGATTTCACACGTCTTCCGAGGAATCAGACACAGAATCCAAACAGGAGGCGGATTCGATGAGCCAAACATGTTACAACCTCCACAGTTTGTCTGAAAATGCGCATTCAAGCACATCCACGGGATCGTTCAGGTTTATCAAACCGACCTCTCAAGCTAACGTCATCGCATTCCAAGTTTCTGAAAAACTGGCGAATCCCCGACCATCGTCACAAGATTTATGTGTAACTAGTAGGAAGAACGTTTCTGACATAATCAACATGAGACGAAGATTTATCAAACTCCTACCTGATCAGGTGAACAAGTGAAGGAGGGATTGAAGTCAGTGTTGCTGTCTGAAACCCTAGAATGAGATTCTGATGAACCCTCCTCCATTAAAATCATCCAACAAAAGCACACCCAACTAACCGATGATGATTCCTCCGGATTCCCCTTCTCTCGCCGGAGAAGCCGCAGCCGCGAAATCACCCACCGTATCCGGAAAGATACTGCAGAAGAAGAAGAAGAAGAAGAAGAAGAAGAAGAAGAAGAAGAAGAAGAAGAAGAAGAAGAAGAAGAAGAAGAAGAAGAAGAAGAAGAAGAAGAAGAAGAAGAAGAAGAAGAAGAAGAAGAAGAAGAAGAAGAATGAAAATTAGGGTTTTAGAGAAGAGGAAAACCGTAGCTCAGTCCCGATAACCGGCGATTTCATCACAGAGAGAGAATGAGTTTCCTTTTTTCTCACCCAAAAGAAAGAACAAGAAAATGGCAGCAACCGGCGATTTCAATTTTCCGGCGATAAGAGATTTGAGATTTGAATTTCATTTTTCCGTTGGGAAGAGATTTGAATTTCGTCAAGAGAGAAAAGGAAAAAATGTAGAGAGAGAAGTTTGTTCATAGCATATAAAGGCATGAACAGTAGGCAACCAAGCCCATTCTCTCTCACTGTTCATCTCTCGCTCCCGCTCCCTCCATCTCTCTCTCTCTCTCTCTCTCTCGATCACTGTCGCTGTTCTTCTCTCGCGCGCTCTCTCTCTCTCTGTCGAACACCGTCACCTTCGTCTCTCGCTGTCGCTCGAACACTTCCACTGTTCCTCTCTCTCGTCTGATAATTTGGAGATGGGAGGGACCAAGAGGAAGATTCCCATGGAGCGAATCGAGAAGAAGGAGAGCAGATCAGTCGCATTCTCCAAGAGACGGGAAGGGCTGTACCGGAAAGCCTCCGAGCTCTGCCGTCTCTGCGATGCCCACATCGCCATTTTAGTCACTCCTCCTTCCGCCAACTCCAACGTCTCCTTCTACTCCTTCGGCCACTCCTCCGTCGACGATGTCGTCGATGCCTTCCTCCACAACCGACCTCCGACATCGTCCCATGATCACGCCTTGTCCAAGAACAGGGATCGCTTGGCGGGAAAGAAACCCAGTTCGGGACTAGGGTTTCGCTGGGAGGAGGATGGGTTCGAGGAAACGGCTAACACGCGGGATTTAGAGGTCGCCATCGACGAGATCTCCGAGCTCATGAACATTGTGAAACGCCGACTGGACGACAAGATGAACGAGACACCTCGCCTCGCGGAGACGACGAATCTTGCAGAGCCATCGGTTCTGGGTTTGGAAAGCGACGGCGGAAAGCGCGATGATTCTCTTGTCGGAAACCTTGCGCCGCAAGTTTCAGACCAACCCATAATGGCGATTTCTGACATCGGTTTCGAGGAATTGGGAGAAGGACCAACGATGGAAGGAGTTGTTCCGCTCTCTCACAAAGAGTTCCAAGATATCATAGATAACTTCAATTTTGACGATATTGCCCCTGACTTCTGCTTTTGATTTTTGTATGTAAGAAATTGGATTCGTTGCAATAACCCACTTTTGTAAATGTATGGATAATGGATTCTTCAGCTTTGTGAAAACAATCTAACTCTCTTTTTTTTTTCCCATAAGTTTAGAACTTTGTCGTAAAGATAAATAAAAATCAGACAAAATCTTCATTACAAATAAGGCGGGAAAAAAAAAAGGAAAATGGTTACTCTCTTTATCATCACCATCTTAAATCAACAAATGCATATCGATGCATCAGAATGCAAGCCCTTCTCTGAAAATTTCCCAGAAACCGACCCGGTTTCCGCTTCGACCTTTATCTTTAACCACAATTCTACCGGTCCGAGGTGAGTAGGGATTGGTCAGAGGATAGTTTCATCTGCCTGAAGCTTTCTGACTCTGGCCTTATCGACCCGAGCCCTTCTTACAGCTTCTCAGCATATCTGTTCCATGTTGCCTGAAGGAACCACAAATGGCCCTGAATAGTGAATCTCGTGGCCTGTCGATCCATATCCGAGCTGAAACGTTATCACAACGAGGGAAAGTATCAATATCAAGAACCGCGGTAAACTTCTCTCATCTATCTTCCAAGAATCCGTAATCATCCCTCCCGTATAACTCCAATTGTTTCACGCGAAGGGAATATGTAATGAAACTAAAGTCGAAAAGAAACTTGCAAGAATCGGAAGCAACTCCATCAGGATGTAAAAGATGATTGATCCAAAGCTAATTCCGGAAAATGTAAAAGCATTTAAAGAATAACAAATCCGATGAGAATTTTACCTGCGTTGACACGGCTAATTCTGCATTGGCATCGAGAGGTGGAACTTGAGATTCCTTCATTCCTCTTCTTTCTTGGTGTTTATGGTCCTTGTTTCCTGCTGCCCCTTGCCTATCAATCACAGAGATGAATACGTTAATAAACTCAGAAGCCTTTCAAATTATTGTTTCCCCTCAAAACTGGAAACAAAACCAGATAAATTCGGATATACACCTTCTAGCTTCCTCATCATCTCGCATTCTTGCATCGAGCTCTTTGCAGGGAGGATATTTAGTCAAGCTTGAAGGGTCACATGGAAAGGGTTTAGATGCGACGAACTATAGAACAAAAAAAAAGAAGATATTTTTAAGTTAGGAAAGATTTGACCAGGAGGCAGCCAAAATCAGTACGGAACTCGCAATCATATACCTCACTCTGGAGGGCAGAGGCAGCGGTTCCACGATCATCGGGAATGTCAGAAAGAAGTGTTTTGACAAGGGCTAAAGCTGGCTCGGGAAACTCCTTAAATGTTTCGGCCACAACACGTCGATATGGTTGTTGAGGCTTGAAAATTGTAGCACGAGGCAAATTTGATTTGCTCCAGTAGTCATCGGAAGGCGAGCCACATTCTTGAAGATTTTTTGCAACTGTTCCACCACTGTTCTTCCGGGCATCCTGCATATAGTTCAGCAAGCATGCAACCTGTACTCCATAAATCTACTGCAGCACCACAGTGAGTTGCTCCGAGCAAAAGTTTGGGTGGTTGGTACTAAAGAGTAACCACATGGCTTGTCAAAGGCTGAGTTTGATCAGGATCGAAAAAACTAGCCAGGCCAAAGTCAATCTTTAGATCTGCTCGAGAACATCTTTTCTAAGCGCCTTCACATTTTCCTACTAAAGTAGCACATGATTATTCTAGACCAATAGAAACAAACACAGGTACAGATATTCTTTTGTCATGGAAAGAGATACACATCAGGAACAGAAAGATGACTACAGAAACAGGGCAAGTGCATTTATTTATGCTAGAAAATTCACAGGACAGGATAAAGTTTCACATGGGGGATCATTCTATGCAATCTACGGGAACATAAAAAATTAAGAATACCAGAAAGAGAAAGATGACAGAAATACGACACGTTTGGGATATCCGGAGATGTGGAGGAATTGATACTCAAATTTATAATCCACCAACAGTTCCTGCATTTATGATTAGATATGGCCGTATTTCTTGAACTGAAGCATATGTCACTAAGTGTGCCCACATTATGGACTCCTTAAAAGAATCGAACTAATCACGGACGATACAAGAAAGCTACGAGTCTGAAAGGCAGTTCCGATGCAAAATTCCACAGAAACAGAACATATCGCCATAAATGTTAAACTTAAATTACTTAATTAATCAAACGAACGAATCATCAGTCATGGTTAAGAACACGCCAGAAAAGAAAAACATTGCAGAATTCTTGGAGTTACAAAGTTCCATATTAAGGACAAGAGAACCAAATGCATACCTAGTTTTGAATCCTTCCTGGACAAACTACATTGATGAACAAGTCTCTATATGTTCCGCAGAACCGAATCCATGGCATTCCTCTCGGAGATCTGCAATACCATATTCAGATAGGCCAAAACCAATTAATCAGACCGTATCAATGCAAAACTTAGAAACTCTTACTGATGCAAACTTGTGATCATATGAACATCTCCGAAGGAATCAGAATGGGTTTTATAACAAGCAAGCATCGCCATTCAACTGGGAGGAACAACTTTGTTACGATCAACGCGAACATTTACAAAATGAATTGAACTCACGGTAGTTTATTGCCTTCTACTGGCTCGAATTTTCCGACCAGAGGCAAGGCTTCCGCTTGCAGGGCTGCAGAGATCGCCATTATAACCGCTCCCACAAACTACGATACGTGAGCACGTATGGAGAACGAGTGCGAGAGAAAAGAGAGAATAACAGTACCAAAGAAGAAGAAGACGGCGGAGATGGGAAGGTTCACGGCCTGAGCCCTAAGATCTTTCATGGCGGCGTCGGACAGACCATAGCCACGGCGATTTCGTCTCCTGAGATTTCCACGTGAAAATTGAAATCAAAGGGCACGAGAGACGGAGTGGGAAAATGGGTTATTTGTTTATGAGCCTTATTGTATATGGGCCCAGTACACTCATTTCAGGCCATTAGCCCTTTTATAATTCTTCGTATCCTTTCCACCTTAACATGAGAAATGGGCCTACTGCACTTATCGTGGCCCACAAGAAATACTTAATGCGCAGTCCTTTATGCCATGTGCCCGAAGACGAAAAGCTTCCCATCTTTTTTCCACTGGCATTACTTCCGGTCCAGGCAGAAGGTTTCAAACATTGTTCAACTGATAAAAGATTGTAAATTATACGCATAGGACCACTCTTTTTCTCTTGTTTTGATTGTTCATCAACGTTACATTTTTGTTTCTAATTTTAGTAACTTGGAACAAATACATTAAATTCTTGTCAATCTCTAGAACCTAACTGAGACAAAATCTGATATTTTTGTCAGATGAATTCGTACAAAATTCGGGTTAAAATTGAAATCTCTATTTTAAACTAACGTCGAAAAGAAACTTACAAGAATCAGATCTTTCTTCTTGTTGCTTCTTCCCCTCATCCCTCTGGTTAGGTTCTGTAGAAATTTCGGCGGTCTCCTTTGATCCCGAGAGATGAGTCTCTTGTTGTGAAGGCATCACTGAATAATCAGATGTGATCGAAGCTTTGTGGGGATCGTCGTAGTTTCAGCTACCCTTAGTTGAAGCAGATCCACGAGCCACCAGAGGACCTGAATGAGATGAAGCCCATTTATGGGGAAGGCCCCGATGATCTGCATTAGGTTCCAGGACTTGTGACTCCCTTGGTGGATCGATAAGGAAGCCGGAAGCAACTTCTTTAGGGAGGATATTTAGTCAAGCTTGAAGGGTCACATGGAAAGGGTTTAGTTGTGAAGAACTACACAACAAAAAAAAAAAAGAATATATTTTCAAGTTAGGGAAGATTTGACCCTAAATCAGCACAGAACTCGCAATCATATACCTCGCTCTGGAGGGCAGAGGCAACATTTCCACGACCATGGAGATTGGCAGAAAGAAGTGTTTCGAGAAGGGTTAAAGCCGGGTCGGGAAACTCCTTAAATGTCTCGGTCACAACACGTCGATATGGCTGAAAATTGTAGCATGAGGCAGCTATGATTTTCTCCAGCAGTCATCGGAAGGCGAGCCACACATAGCTTGAAGATTTTGTGCTACTGTTCCACCTGCGAAAACACACATGGGTTCAGAGAAAGACTACTAATCACCTCAAAGAATCACACAGTCAACAGAAATATAAAACTTTGAAAATAAAACAAGAAATTCAAAGCAAGAATTGCTCAGATGATGAACAAAGAGAACATTTTTTCATATCAAGGGACTCTAACCTACCGGGCACCTGCATATAGTTCAGCAAGAATGCAGCCTGTACTCCATAAATCTACTACAGCACCATTGTGAGTTGCTCCGAGCAAAAGTTCGGGTGGTCGGGACCAAAGAGTAACCACACGGCTTGTCAAAGGCAGAGTTTAACGAGGATCGAAGAAACAAGCCAGACCAAAGTCAGCAATCTTTAGAACTCCATTATTATCTATAAGAAGGTTGGAGTCCTTTATGTCCCCATGCAATACACCAAGGGAGTGCCAATGATCAAGGCCATGTAAAAGTTGCTGCATGTAACATTTGACCTGCACAAGAACAGATCAAAACAAAAGAGAAAAAAAACAAAACCAAGCCTCAGAGATTTGCTGTGATAAGGCAGCAAGGTAGAGCTAGGTCAAGAAACATGTTAAGTACGCTTGCGTTCTGGGCAATGTTTTCACTGTTGGCGGACATTGTACACTCGGTGACTTGGGCGACAAGGAACAATTGGAAGACAAACATTCTCAGCAACAACCCAATGAAATACATGAAGCAAATCAATCATCCACGTCACCTTACTCCAAAACAGGAAATTCCCAAGACTGAAGATCAACGTAATTGACATCTTTCCATTTGTTAATTACGACATATTTCTTTTCCATATTTAATTGTAAATAGCCGTTCAATATTTTTGTGTATATATGCTCTGTACAAAAACAGAAGAGAAGATACACGAGAGAATGTTCTTTTTCAGAAACTTGTTTCTAACCCTAAAATCTTTTTGTCCAGTTTGAGTGCAAGATCAATTCCTCCTCTTGTTCTCATCACTTTACAAACTGAAATACCATAGAATTCTACATGGTATCAGAGCATTAAGGTCCTTGACCCCTCTGTGTTTTTTTTTTTTTTTTTTTCAAACCACCATCAATGGATTCTCAAAGCAAACTCATTCCAATCACTTTAACCGGTGAAAACTTCTTTTATTGGAAGAAAGCGGCAATTGCAGCCCTCAATAGCAAGGGCTTATGGGAGCATGTCTCCACCGAAAAACGGTTTTCTCCCCCGCAAGAGGCGGCCATTGAAGGGGAAACACCGACACACGTTCAACAACGGCTTCAACGTGACAAACAGATCGAGTTGGAATTCAACAAATGGAAGCAGAATGATAGCCAAGCTTTGGTGATTTTACAGGGTTCCTTGGACCATCACCTGCTGCAGACTTTTATCTCCCATGACACAACAAAGTCCTTATGGGAAGCCCTCACCAATGTCTACGGTAACATATCCAATGTAAGCCGTATTTTTGAATTGAAAAGACGTTTGTTTCATCTTCAACAGACGGATCAACCCTTTAACAAGATCCAAGGAGAATTTTGTGCTTTATGGGCGGAGTTGGAGGAGATTCGACCAACATCCACTGATCCAAAGACAATATTGGAGAGAGCCGACGAAGACAAAGTGTTTTCGATTCTCTCGACACTTAACCCCTCGTTTAATGATCTTATTTATCATGTCTTGCGTCAAACAAAGCTCCCGACGTTTGATGAACTATGTATGATGATCAAGAGAGAAGAAGGTGGCCGGAATTACTTCACCGGACCCATGGAACTCGCTCACTACACACACAAGGCTGGAGGACAATCGACTATTTCAAAAGACCGTAAGCAATTTTTTTGTGACCATTGTAAACGACAGGGCCATACACGAGACCGTTGTTGGGTGCTTAATCCACATTTGAAGCCTTCTCGGTACAAGGAACCACCTCGTCGAGGTTCGGCAATGACGGCTTCTCATGATCAGCCTACTCCGGAGGCTACAATAAACCTCACATCCGACGAGTTGAAGGGCCTCAAACAACTCCTTCAATCTCTCAACAAGGATACCGGTAACCTTTCTAAACACTCTTCCATTATTATAGATTCGGGTGCTACAACACATATGTTTTGTGATCCCACTTGGTTTGCACATATATATCCCAGTCATGGAGTCGTCTCGGTCGCTAATGGTAAGACCGTACCAATAAAAGGCTATGGTAAAATCAAACTTTTTAACAAGGAGATTACATGCCTTTTTATTCCTGAATTCCATGCCAATCTTCTCTCTATTCCAAAACTTGTTGAAGAAACTTCTTGTCGTGTTATATTTGATGCTAACGGCGTCTCTTTTCAGGATACTAGCTCGGACCATTTCTTTGGCCAAGGCACTCGCAAAGGCTCTCTTTATTACCTAGATGCTTCTCATTCAAGTTACTTATCTATTTCGCCTAGTGTGTGGCATGCTCGGTTAGGACATCCACATACTAAGGTTTTCCGTTTATTAATTCCCCATGTTAAGACATTTGATTCTAATTGTGAGGCTTGTACGTTGGGAAAACATTGTCGAACGGTTTTTCGACATTCTTCTACTTTTTATGATAATATCTTTGATTTGGTTCACTCGGATGTATGGACCGCTCCTTATTATTCGCGTGACAATTACAAATATTTCGTGACATTTATTGATGAGAAATCCAAATATACTTGGATAACTCCTTTAAAAAATAAAAGTGATGTTTTTTGTGCTACTAAACATTTTCTTGCTTATGTAGCTAATCAATTCAATGTCAAAGTAAAATGCTTAAGAACAGACAATGGTGGTGAATATATGAGCTTCCGCTTCCAAGACCTTCTTCTCAATCAAGGTATCATTCATCAAAGATCCTGTCCGAACACTCCTCAACAAAACGGTGTAGCCGAGAGAAAGAATCGTCACTTAATGGAGGTAGCTCGAACACTACTATTTCATCGAAATGTACCAAAGAAATTTTGGTGTGACGCGGTGAAAGTTGCGTGCTACCTAATCAATCGCCTTCCCACGCAAGCTCTTGGTGATAAATCTCCTTTCGAGGTAATTTTCAATCGTCGTGACTCTCTTGATCATTTACGCGTTTTTGGTAGCGTTTGTTTTTCTCACCTTGATGAAGGCCAAAGAACTAAATTAGACCCGAGGAGTGTGCGATGTGTATTCATTGGATACCCGGTCAACCAAAAAGGGTATCTTTGTTATCATCCTCCTAGTAGACGCACTTTCACTTCTCGCGACGTTCGGTTTATTGAAGAGATTGGTTATTTCGAAGACAAGGATTGGTCTTCTTTGGAGTCCCTTGCTGCTCAAGGCACCGACAATAATGAAGATTCTATTTCGCACCTCCATGCAACACTCCACCGTTTGGGTATACAAACCCCAACATCCACTTTACAATCCACGTCAGATGAGCCCACTCACCTCCATGCAGATGGTATTCCTCCCTCTTCATTGTCTCCTTTGTCTATTATTTTATCTTCTCACAATGCAGGTTCTACACATGATGAAGAAACACATTCTGAGCTACATGTGTCTCCTGAGGGGGAACCTCCATCTCTGACAGAAGGACCGTCTTCTCCAGCACACCTTGAGCCTGGTGTTACCTCAGGCCCACCCACTACGCAGTCGAACATGGAGGAAATATGTACAGACTCGTTCGTTCCTCATCTGCCTGCTGATCCCAATCACATGCAGAACGTAATCTTGCATGAACAGCCTATTTCGGTCTTGCCTACTCAAACTCCACATCTTCGGAGAAGCAAGCGTGACCGTCGTCCAACATGGAAAGTGAAGGACCAAATGCATGGCTCAAACAACGTGATTGCATATCCCATCGATACGTACTCATCTCTTGGTCATTTTCCCGCTAATGAACGTACGTTTTTGAGTATTGTAGAACAGGGCATGGAACCGACCTCTTACACTCAAGCCAAGTCCGAACCACTATGGCAACGAGCTATGGAGGAAGAAATTTCGGCGCTTGAAAAGAACCGAACGTGGGATATCACGACACTACCGACAGGGAAGCAATTGGTGGGATGTAAATGGGTCTTTAAGATTAAGTACCTCAGCAATGGCACCATCGAACGATACAAAGCTCGTCTCGTTGCCAAAGGCTATACCCAAACCTATGGAGAAGACTACACTGAAACTTTTGCCCCGGTTGCAAAACTTCCTACGGTACGTGTTCTAATTTCCTTGGCTGTGAATCTTCAATGGCAATTATGGCAGATGGATGTCAAGAACGCCTTTTTACAAGGCGATCTGGACAAGGAAATATTTATGAAGCCACCTCCTGGTTACACTCGGACCAAACCGGGTGAAGTTTGCCGCCTTCGTAAGTCGATTTATGGTTTGAAACAATCACCTCGGGCATGGTACTACAAACTTTATCAAGCATTGATCGATCGTGGATTCAAACGAAGCGACTCCGATCACTCTCTTTTCACAATGACTGGTGTCTCAGGTATCATCATTCTTTTGGTATATGTTGATGACATTATCCTTTCAGGTAGTGACGTCGATGGAATAAAAGATACAAAGAAATATTTACAACAAGTATTTGATATTACTGATTTGGGTTTACTTAAATATTTTCTTGGAATCGAAGTAACTCGTACTACTAACGGTTTGTTTTTGTCTCAAAGAAAGTACATTCTTGATTTGTTACAAGATACAGGTAAACTTGGAGCAAAACCAGTGCGCACACCAATTGAAGAGCATTTCAAAGATCGAAAAGAGGGGGAACCTTTTCATGATCCAGAACAATATCGTCGCACAGTCGGTAAGTTAATTTATTTAACTATTACTCGTCCTGATATAAGCTTTGCGGTGCACCAGGTTAGCCAATGGATGCACGCCCCACAAATGGATCACTGGCATATGGTGGACCGCATCTTAAAGTATCTTAAAGGAACACCAAATAAAGGCATACGGATGGACAACAACCGGCACACTCGGATCGTGGCGTATTGCGATGCGGATTGGGCTGGCGATAGATTGGACCGGAAATCCACGACGGGATTTTGCACGTTCGTTGGCGGGAACCTTGTCACATGGCGGAGCAAGAAACAAACCGTGGTAGCACGTTCCAGCGCGGAGGCCGAATATCGCGCCATGGCCAACACTACAAGTGAAGTTGTTTGGCTACAACAACTCCTTCGTGACCTTGGAATCGAGCACACGCAACCCACTCCATTACACTGCGATAATCAAGCGGCTCTACATATTGCAGCCAACTCCGTCTTCCACGAACGTACAAAGCATATCGAGGTAGATTGCCACTTTGTTCGCGAGAAGATTACACGTGGGATTATAGCGCCTTTGTTTACAAGAAGCCAAGATCAACTCGCCGATGTCTTGACCAAGGCAACTAGCTCGTATGTGCTTACCCATTGTCTCTCCAAGATTGGTCTTGTCGAACTCGACACACCAATCTTGAGGGGGAATGTTGGCGGACATTGTACACTCGGTGACTTGGGCGACAAGGAACAATTGGAAGACAAACATTCTCAGCAACAACCCAATGAAATACATGAAGCAAATCAATCATCCACGTCACCTTACTCCAAAACAGGAAATTCCCAAGACTGAAGATCAACGTAATTGACATCTTTCCATTTGTTAATTACGACATATTTCTTTTCCATATTTAATTGTAAATAGCCGTTCAATATTTTTGTGTATATATGCTCTGTACAAAAACAGAAGAGAAGATACACGAGAGAATGTTCTTTTTCAGAAACTTGTTTCTAACCCTAAAATCTTTTTGTCCAGTTTGAGTGCAAGATCAATTCCTCCTCTTGTTCTCATCACTTTACAAACTGAAATACCATAGAATTCTACATTCACTTCCCTCTCAAACGCAAACACTCTTTTGGTGTGTGTTCCCTAAACTCTAATTCACAGTTGTTGTCAGAAAACAAGGTTTCAATTCTGAAAGAATTTGTTTCCTATACCCAAAAAAACAAAATCATTGTCAACCACTTCAAACTACAACACTGGATCTGTGTTTCGGAACACGAACGACAGTACTACCATCGGCAATACCTTGTGGTACACGCAAACCTGCTTTAAACCAGAAGTTCACTGGCAATGGCGATATGGGTTTCCTTGAAATGTTTTGAATGGAGAATTACTTCCCTCGTTAGTTTCCGACCCCGTGGGCTGTGGGTATGTATATACCAATCTGATACTTGTAATCCTACAAAGTTCTGGATTGCAGAAACGATGTTTCAGATTCAGACACGAAATGATACCGAAAGAGCAACTCATTGTTCTGTTACCTTAACATTGGGTGGCCCATGAATGAGTGAAGGGGAGTTTCGTTAAACCTAGAAGCAGCCATGGATAGATCTTCACAGCGGTAAATATCTGAAGCACATGAACTAGGAGAGGATATATCCTCTTCAGGGCTCATATAGCAGCTCGTTTCCTCGGCCAATATCCGCTTCATCGGGAAAGATTGCTTCTTTTCTTCTTCTAGCAATAATATTCAGGCCCAATTGAAAATCATATAATCGAGCTACCAATAGCAAACTGTGACGATAATTTCACCCATCTTCCGAGGAATCAGATACAGAATCCGAGCAGGAGGCGGATTCGATGAGCCAGACATGTTACAACCTCCACAGTTTGTCTGAAAATGCGCATTCAAGCACATCCACGGGATCGTTCAGGTTTATCAAACCGACCTCTCAAGCTAACGTCATCGCATTCCAAGTTTCTGAAAAACTGGCGAATCCCCAAGTCATCATCACAAGATTTATGTGTAACTAGTAGGAAGAACGTTTCTGACATAATCAACATGAGACGAAGATTTATCAAACTCCTACCTGATCAGGTGAACAAGTGAAGGAGGGATTGAAGTCAGTGTTGCTGTCTGAAACCCTAGAATGAGATTCTGATGAACCCTCCTCCATTAAAATCATCCACCAAAAGCACACCCAACTAACCGATGATGATTCCTCCGGATTCCCCATAACTTCCACCGCAACTATTTCGCAAGATACTGCAGAAGAAGAAGAAGAAGAAGAAGAAGAAGAAGAAGAAGAAGAAGAAGAAGAAGAAGAAGAAGAAGAAGAAGAAGAAGAAGAATGAAAATTAGGGTTTTAGAGAAGAGGAAAACCGTAGATCAGTCCCGATAACCGGCGATTTCATCACAGAGAGAGAATGAGTTTCCTTTTTTCTCACCCAAAAGAAAGAACAAGAAAATGGCAGCAACCGGCGATTTCAATTTTCCGGCGATAAGAGATTTGAGATTTGAATTTCATTTTTCCGTTGGGAAGAGATTTGAATTTCGTCAAGAGAGAAAAGGAAAAAATGTAGAGAGAGAAGTTTGTTCATAGCATATAAAGGCATGAACAGTAGGCAACCAAGCCCATTCTCTCTCACTGTTCATCTCTCGCTCCCGCTCCCTCCATCTCTCTCTCTCTCTCTCTCTCTCGATCACTGTCGCTGTTCTTCTCTCGCGCGCTCTCTCTCTCTCTGTCGAACACCGTCACCTTCGTCTCTCGCTGTCGCTCGAACACTTCCACTGTTCCTCTCTCTCGTCTGATAATTTGGAGATGGGAGGGACCAAGAGGAAGATTCCCATGGAGCGAATCGAGAAGAAGGAGAGCAGATCAGTCGCATTCTCCAAGAGACGGGAAGGGCTGTACCGGAAAGCCTCCGAGCTCTGCCGTCTCTGCGATGCCCACATCGCCATTTTAGTCACTCCTCCTTCCGCCAACTCCAACGTCTCCTTCTACTCCTTCGGCCACTCCTCCGTCGACGATGTCGTCGATGCCTTCCTCCACAACCGACCTCCGACATCGTCCCATGATCACGCCTTGTCCAAGAACAGGGATCGCTTGGCGGGAAAGAAACCCAGTTCGGGACTAGGGTTTCGCTGGGAGGAGGATGGGTTCGAGGAAACGGCTAACACGCGGGATTTAGAGGTCGCCATCGACGAGATCTCCGAGCTCATGAACATTGTGAAACGCCGACTGGACGACAAGATGAACGAGACACCTCGCCTCGCGGAGACGACGAATCTTGCAGAGCCATCGGTTCTGGGTTTGGAAAGCGACGGCGGAAAGCGCGATGATTCTCTTGTCGGAAACCTTGCGCCGCAAGTTTCAGACCAACCCATAATGGCGATTTCTGACATCGGTTTCGAGGAATTGGGAGAAGGACCAACGATGGAAGGAGTTGTTCCGCTCTCTCACAAAGAGTTCCAAGATATCATAGATAACTTCAATTTTGACGATATTGCCCCTGACTTCTGCTTTTGATTTTTGTATGTAAGAAATTGGATTCGTTGCAATAACCCACTTTTGTAAATGTATGGATAATGGATTCTTCAGCTTTGTGAAAACAATCTAACTCTCTTTTTTTTTTCCCATAAGTTTAGAACTTTGTCGTAAAGATAAATAAAAATCAGACAAAATCTTCATTACAAATAAGGCGGGAAAAAAAAAAGGAAAATGGTTACTCTCTTTATCATCACCATCTTAAATCAACAAATGCATATCGATGCATCAGAATGCAAGCCCTTCTCTGAAAATTTCCCAGAAACCGACCCGGTTTCCGCTTCGACCTTTATCTTTAACCACAATTCTACCGGTCCGAGGTGAGTAGGGATTGGTCAGAGGATAGTTTCATCTGCCTGAAGCTTTCTGACTCTGGCCTTATCGACCCGAGCCCTTCTTACAGCTTCTCAGCATATCTGTTCCATGTTGCCTGAAGGAACCACAAATGGCCCTGAATAGTGAATCTCGTGGCCTGTCGATCCATATCCGAGCTGAAACGTTATCACAACGAGGGAAAGTATCAATATCAAGAACCGCGGTAAACTTCTCTCATCTATCTTCCAAGAATCCGTAATCATCCCTCCCGTATAACTCCAATTGTTTCACGCGAAGGGAATATGTAATGAAACTAAAGTCGAAAAGAAACTTGCAAGAATCGGAAGCAACTCCATCAGGATGTAAAAGATGATTGATCCAAAGCTAATTCCGGAAAATGTAAAAGCATTTAAAGAATAACAAATCCGATGAGAATTTTACCTGCGTTGACACGGCTAATTCTGCATTGGCATCGAGAGGTGGAACTTGAGATTCCTTCATTCCTCTTCTTTCTTGGTGTTTATGGTCCTTGTTTCCTGCTGCCCCTTGCCTATCAATCACAGAGATGAATACGTTAATAAACTCAGAAGCCTTTCAAATTATTGTTTCCCCTCAAAACTGGAAACAAAACCAGATAAATTCGGATATACACCTTCTAGCTTCCTCATCATCTCGCATTCTTGCATCGAGCTCTTTGCAGGGAGGATATTTAGTCAAGCTTGAAGGGTCACATGGAAAGGGTTTAGATGCGACGAACTATAGAACAAAAAAAAAGAAGATATTTTTAAGTTAGGAAAGATTTGACCAGGAGGCAGCCAAAATCAGTACGGAACTCGCAATCATATACCTCACTCTGGAGGGCGAATTTCATTTTTCCGTTGGGAAGAGATTTGAATTTCGTCAAGAGAGAAAAGGAAAAAATGTAGAGAGAGAAGTTTGTTCATAGCATATAAAGGCATGAACAGTAGGCAACCAAGCCCATTCTCTCTCACTGTTCATCTCTCGCTCCCGCTCCCTCCATCTCTCTCTCTCTCTCTCTCGCACGTTGTACTCTCTCACTTGGTTTTCTGCCTCTTTGTGGTTCAGCTTCCTTCCCTGCTTCAGGTTTCATTTGACAGATTTTTCATCTTCATACAAATGAGACATCCAACTGTCAACAACCTCGTCAAAATTATCAACAAGCTCCACACCCTGTACCAGAGATGCTTCGGCCTCGTCTGGTACTAGATAGCTCGCAATGTCCTGAAATAAATAAAAAACCCGCTAAAAACCACTACATTTTTTCAACTTCCCTATAACTATTCCTTTTTTACCACTCTATTACTACATACATGTGTCCTGCCAATCTTTGTCAATCTTTGTTTTATCTCATACTTTCTTTTCGGGATAAAACATCTTCTGCACATCCGTGGACAGGTTGCTTGCACATTACCTTCCAACTTCACTTCACTATACCATCCGCCAGATCGAAGCTTAGGAATACATTCGAACGGTAACATCTGCAATATCAACCATAAGATCAACAAATTACAACCCAAACCTAATTCCTACACAAATTCAACTTCAAATCCAAACTCAAATTCAAAATTCTTACTTCTCTTTCACGGGAAGATTCCGAGCCTGTTGATGTCTCCCCCTCCGCCACCGACTGGGACTGCGTCTGGGTTCTTCCGGCGGCTGACCTCGACCGTGTTGAAACAACGGTTCCACTCGACGAAGCTCCTTGCATTCTCGTCGTTTCAGAGGTAATCACACTTGGGTTTTCGATTTGGATTTCCCCCTCACCGATTTCGCAACTCTCTCTCTCTCTCGGCGTTTTCTTTCTCTCTCTCGGCGATTTCTCGATTTTTTTAAGATGACTGCTGGAAACTATAGTAAAAATGCCTTAATTTCCCTTTTTCTTCTGAATTTACCTCTTTTTTTACTTTTTCACGGGATTTTAATTCCTACACGTGCGACTTGTCTCACACGGTTACTTATTCAAGGTTATTTGGTCTTTTCCATTTTCATTAAGGGCAAACCAGACTTTTGCTAAATCGTTATGTTTTTGAAGTGTACACCTGAAATACATGTGCTCCAACTAGTGCATTTTAGAAAAAACCCCTCTCCGCCGTTGTCTTCATCTTTGGTACTGTTATTCTCTCTTTTCTCTCGCACTCGTTCTCCATACGTGCTCACGTATCGTAGTTTGTGGTGAAGACAACGGCGGAGAGGGTTTTTTTCTAAAATGCACTAGTTGGAGCACATGTATTTCAGGTGTACACTTCAAAAACATAACGATTTAGCAAAAGTCTGGTTTGCCCTTAATGAAAATGGAAAAGACCAAATAACCTTGAATAAGTAACCGTGTGAGACAAGTCGCACGTGTAGGAATTAAAATCCCGTGAAAAAGTAAAAAAAGAGGTAAATTCAGAAGAAAAAGGGAAATTAAGGCATTTTTACTATAGTTATTTACACAGAACTTAAAAAAATCGAGAAATTGCCGAGAGAGAGAAAGAAAACGCCGAGAGAGAGAGAGAGTTGCGAAATCGGTGAGGGAGAAATCCAAATCGAAAACCCAAGTGTGATTACCTCTGAAACGACGAGAATGCAAGGAGCTTCGTCGAGTGGAACCGTTGTTTCAACACGGTCGAGGTCAGCCGCCGGAAGAACCCAGACGCAGTCCCAGTCGGTGGCGGAGGGGGAGACATCAACAGGCTCGGAATCTTCCCGTGAAAGAGAAGTAAGAATTTTGAATTTGAGTTTGGATTTGAAGTTGAATTTGTGTAGGAATTAGGTTTGGGTTGTAATTTGTTGATCTTATGGTTGATATTGCAGATGTTACCGTTCGAATGTATTCCTAAGCTTCGATCTGGCGGATGGTATAGTGAAGTGAAGTTGGAAGGTAATGTGCAAGCAACCTGTCCACGGATGTGCAGAAGATGTTTTATCCCGAAAAGAAAGTATGAGATAAAACAAAGATTGACAAAGATTGGCAGGACACATGTATGTAGTAATAGAGTGGTAAAAAAGGAATAGTTATAGGGAAGTTGAAAAAATGTAGTGGTTTTTAGCGGGTTTTTTATTTATTTCAGGACATTGCGAGCTATCTAGTACCAGACGAGGCCGAAGCATCTCTGGTACAGGGTGTGGAGCTTGTTGATAATTTTGACGAGGTTGTTGACAGTTGGATGTCTCATTTGTATGAAGATGAAAAATCTGTCAAATGAAACCTGAAGCAGGGAAGGAAGCTGAACCACAAAGAGGCAGAAAACCAAGTGAGAGAGTACAACGTGCCAAAGTCGCATCAGAGAAAACATTGTCTCTATGGGCTGATACAATGACACCTCTATCAATTCGAAGGGTGGAATCATTAGAGGTCGAGGAAGAGGAAGAAGAGGTCAAGGCCGTGGTCGTGGAGGAAAACGTTGAAACATGGTCTGTGTCTATTCGGTTTTAGTTGTACTTTGAACTTGATCGGTTTGTTGTTTGTTGTTTGTTGTGGTATGTGTAATTTGAACATGGTTTCTTTTTTGTTGTGGTTTGTGAACTTGGAACATGGTTTGCTGTTTGTTGTGGTTTTTGAACCTCTGAACCAGGTTGTGGTGTTGTTGTGGTTTGGAACATGGTTTGGATTATTGTGTTAGTTCAGGGTTTCATAAGTCGAAATAAAGTAGTTGTGTGCTGAAAGTGACAAAAATAAAGTAGTTTTTATGCATATAATGATTCATATGAAAAGTGGCTGGAACCCTTGAAAAGTGGCTGGAACTCTAACACGACTATATTACGACATAATTACGACTTTTATCGGTCGTAATCGTGTAAAAATTCGTGAAATTTGACGAGTTTTACATCGAGTGATGATGAAACCCTTGAAAATAAGTATTAGAAATAGATTCAAAGGCACGATTTAACAAAAGAAAGATTTGAAAAAAAAAATACCAACTTGATTGAAAGTGTTCCTATATGTTTCTTAAACATATATGAACACTTTGATCCAAACCTATATTATTGTATAAAAGTTTTTGAAATGTGACTTATAAGTCAATTTTCCTACTTACTTAGTCGGTATTCATCACTCCTTACAGAAAACTCGGAAAATTTAACGACATTTTGGACATTTAGACCGAAAATCCAAAGTCGTAATTAAGTCATAATCGAGTCGCAATAAGTTGGTTATGGGCGATAATAAGACAAAACTTGGCTTTTTGTCGAATGACCACCAGTTGTCAGACTTTTGTTCCTTTTTTCGATTTTGCCTTTTTTTGTTAAGCTTTTTTGTTATTTTTTTTAAATTGGACATAGTCACGATGCATAGGTTTTCAAAAGGTCGTAACATAGTCACGATGAAGTCGTTTACAAAAAGTCGTAACATAGTTACGATGAAGTCGTTTACAAAAAGTCATAACAGTTAACAGATGTATACATTCATGACAAGTTTTACATTTCATCTTCTAACTGCAAAACGATTTCCTTGTCTTTCTTCTTCCTCTTCTGTGACAGTGGCTCCTCTGAATCATATGGATTCACCCTCGATTTTCTTCTTTCCTCTTTTTTCCCTGGCACTCTTGATTCGATTCATGGTCGGTCGACCAACACCTCGTTCTCTTACAATAGGAGGGTTCACTTTCATCTCCGCTACATGATCATATAACAAAGGTCGTAAATAGGTTGGGTTCAACGACAGATCAATTTGGGTCATGACATCAAGCCCTAGAACATCTCGGCAGTGTTGATTTTTTGTAGAAAATGATTGGGTTTCATTCACATTATACCTCAATAATGGTGGAGCTGTCGGGAAGAATGCCGGAGCTGTTGATCGCAGCTCTCGTCGGGAACAATGGCGGAGAAACCAGTCGGGAAGATTGCCTCCGCTGAGAAATACCGACGACGATACATGGGAAGAAGAAGAACACCAGGAGAGAGAAACCCACATTTATTCTGTCGTTTTTTAATTCAACACGTTTTGTTTTTTATTTTTAAAGTAAGGGTAATTTCGACTTTTTGCATACAGGGTTATTTGCTACTTTTCAATCGAAAAGTGGTGTACAAGCTGAAAAATTTTCAGACCCCTTTTTTTCAGGTGTACACCTGAAATTAATGTGATCCAAGTAGTGCATTTTAGAAAAAACCCCCGGCGGAGATGGGAAGCTTCACGGCCTGAGCCCTAAGATCTTTCATGGCGGCGTCTGACAGACCACAGCCACGGCGATTTCGTCTCCTGAGATTTCCACGTGAAAATTGAAATCAAAGGGCACGAGAGAGTGGGAAAATGGGTTATTTGTTTATGGGCCTTATTGTATATGGGCCCAATACACTTATTTCAGCCCATTAGCCCTCTTATAATTCTTTGTATCCTTTCCACCTTAACATGAGAAATGGGCCTACTGCACTTATCGTGGCCCACAAGAAATACTTAATGCGCGGTCCTTTATGTCATGTGCCCGAAGACGAAAAGCTTTCCCATCTTTTTTCCACTGGCATTACTTCCGGTCCAGGCAGAAGGTTTCAAACATTGTTCAACTTTCATAAAAGATTGTAAATTATACGCATCTCTTGTTTTGATTGTTCATCAACGTTACATTTTTGTTTCTAATTTTAGTAACTTGGAACAGATACATTAAATTCTTGACAATCTCTAGAACCTAATTGAGACAAAATCTGATATTTTTTTTAGATGAATTCGTACAAAGATTCAGGTTAAAATTGAAATCTCTATTTTAAACTAACATTGAAAAGAAACTTATAAGAATCGGATCTTTCTTCTTGTTGCTTCTTCCCTCATCCCTCCGGTTAGGTTCTGCAGAGATTTCGGCGATCTCCTTGAAAGATCCCGAGAGACGAGTCTCTTGTTGTGAAGGCATCACTGAATAATCAGATGTG